ATGATATTAAAAAAATATTCAAAAGCAACATGACTCCTTTATTCAGGATAAACCCTATATAACATTTTTGATCGAAAGTTGGTGGATGTAGGTGTCATGTACACAAAATCGAAATTTTCTAAAGACGGTTTTACACTGACAATTTATTGGTCAATTTATTGCTCAAGTCGCTTGTCAAGAAATATTGATAATGTAAAACGTCAAATTGGCGGCAATTTAACTTGTCCAAGTTCTCGCTCAATTTATTGACGGATTAGCGCATGTTCTATTTTTCCGTCAATTTTTGTGTCAATTCAGGATTTCAACCTAGAAATGACTTTAAAAATATTAAAGCTAGGTGAGGATATTTATTTCTATTTATCATTTACTTGTTCATGTTCAGTTTATTCTTCTACCTTCAGTTTCTTCTAGTTTTATTATTAAACATCTTCAAATATATTTCTGGGTGAGCCATAAATAAGAATACATAACCTTGAAACTCTGGTTAAGTTGGTAGAATTGTTTATTGTCGTTTGTGTTGTCAACAAGCTGATCCGGTGTAAAGCGAAGTTGAGCCATTGTTGAGCCAATATAAATTGGCAGATAAATTGACAAACGAATTGATCAATTTAAATTGTCAGTGTAAAACTAGCATAAGACAGATACAATTTTGTTATTTAGGGTATTCATCAAAGAAATTTACTTCTTTTAAACTAATTTATGCGATATTACTAAACAATATCACATGCTAATTGAAAAAGTTCTAGTTGAAAATGCCTTTTATTGAATATCTCAAAAGTTTACAAATGTGACATGACAACTTTATCGACTTATGTCTTCAATTATGAAAACTGAATTTTATAAATGAGGTACCGTAAAACGGGGATAGGTACTTTGTGACAGATTTGGGGGTTTTTTGAAATTCTCAAACATTTCTTTGTCACATGAAATTCTAAGAAAAATACAGTGTGTATATCCGTTCTTCCGCTACAAAATGGCAGTTCTAGAAAATTGGAAAAAAAAAAATAAAAATTCAGCTTTTTTTTAATTTGAGAATGTCACAACTTTACCCCGTGATGCTGGGTAACTTTGTGACAGTGCGTTTTTACAATGAAAACATAATGTAACCCCGTCATTTTTAGTCTAAAACGATAGGAAATATCAAGAAATATATGCTTGATAATTTTCTGATATTAAAAACACGGGTATATACTGATTTAGACATTTTAAACTTTTATTGTATATATGTCGTAGGCATAATGCAAATATAGGCTTTTCCTAAAATGCCTAGGCATTTTACGAAAAGCCGGCAAAACGCAAGCATAAAATGAATTTCTCGTTATGCCGACAACAATTCAGGCAAGCTGATAAAATGCCGGCAAAACAAAAACAGAAGAATATATATCATGTTGTGACTGATTATTTGTAGGCATTTTACAATTTGCCAAAAACGGTGCCGTCAAAACGTGAATAAATATAAAACAAGTCGAATTTTCGATTAGGTATTAGGGTAATTATCTATTATCCATTACCAAATCCGAATATTCCGAATTTGTTGATTTTTTGTAGTAAGGTATAATTTTAGTCGCTAATCACAAATCTGAAATGGTGCCGGCATAACGAAAAAAGCATTTTATGCTTGCGTTTCGCCGGCTTTTTGTGAAATGCCTAGGCAAATTATAAAAAGCCTAAATTTGCATTATGCCTACGACATATATATCATACGATATAGTATTTATCACTCTCATATTATTCATCCAGAAATTGGGATGTGAACTCCACCCATAGGAAGTCGTCCACATTAGGAGACATGTCGATCCTTTTAGCGTTGTTTTAGGTTGAGCATAAGTTTCTCCCATACTAATTACATGTCACAAAGTTACCCCGGTAGGTTACTCTTTTTTGTTTATTGTTAAAAAAAAAAATGTGTCAAATTAATAAATCGTAAGCGAATTCACGTAGATATCCCGACAAGTACCCAAGCAATTAGAAATTCTGACGAATTTTTCTGGGAAGTGTTCAAATTCTGATGTACAGTAGAAAGTTTTGGCGTTTCGAAAAAGTTGCAAAAACGAGATGGTCCCTTCGAATCAGGCTGCAAGTTACCAAGGGACCGTACCAGCTTGCCGAACGGTTTTTGTAGCGAGTGAGGTATGTGCTTCCACCAGCCGGTAGAAAAATTTGGCTTCGCGCGCGGAGTTTGAAATGTTTGGCTAATTTGAATTGAATTTCACAATGTCACCAAGTTTCCCCCTTGTCACAAAGTATCCCCGTTTTACGGTAGATAAAAATAATGTTTAACTACATGTTTTCAATAATTATATCTATGATTATAAATTATAGCAATTAAAAAAATTAAACTTATGTGAGCGCTAATTTGTGCACAATATTTTTGATTGATCTGTCTTTTAAATTAAATTTTCATGTTATCAATTGTGTTTCATTGAAACTCTCCAAAACTCTTTACCAATCACATTTCAATTTTGGCCTAACATTCTATTCTCAATCCCGTAGGGTTTTAGATCGATTGAAACATTTTTAGCCATATTTGTGAATATTTATTGGACTGTAGGTATTAAAAATATTACTATAAAATTAATTAAACGTATTAGAAATACTGACTGAGCCACAGCAACGAGGGGCCGGGTCAGCTAGTTTTAATCTATTTTTCACTTATCTGGATCTGTTTTTGAAATCTGCCAGATATTTTTTCAATTTTGACAGCCTGTAAAATTTAAACGGCTCAAATCATTTAAATGTTACGGGTTATCAAAATTGTGAACTGTTGAGTTCAATGGTAGAAAAGGTATTTCACTGATTTTTGATATTAAGGAAAGACAATAATTCAGAACTCCGATAATATTTTAAACAAAAATCAGTCCCGCTACTGATAGACGTATAATATTTGGTCGTCATCAAGAAACTTATAGCAAATCCATTACGAGGTCTCCGAAAACACATAAATTATATCGGATTCAGCTTTATTACTGGATCAATGCGAAAGGTACAATTTGTTTTATTATCGGATTAGTATATAATGCCCCTATTAAACACCGACTGGGAAATGGCTAATCATTCAGATTAAATTGAGGGGAATTTATTTAGGGATGATGATATTAAGATAAAACTACTTTTATGATATTACCCTTTTGATGTTTGCCCTTCAGTCTTTATAGTTTTTATATTCATCTTCCTTCTACAATGTAAGTTCAGCAGAAACATTTTTATGTCAGTTGATTAAATAATAATAGTTCTTTTTTCTTGGGCATTCAAATAAAACCCTGAGATAAAACGCCAGCAAAGAGAGGGTTTCAAAGGAAACAAACATTCGTTATGTACCTACTACAAAACTAAAGTCAGTCGAACATCCGCCAGCGCCTAAGCTTTCATCTTGTTAAGGCAAAGCCGGAGTGGAACGAGATGAGACATTAGGCAGGCTGTAAACTTCTCAAATAAGTAAATACGGTAACTCAATTTCAAGAATGGAATTTTGCACTTTAGAAGCTTGAGTAGTATGATGGCGATTCGGCAATTGCGGTGTCGGCAAAAAAAAAATATTTTTGTGCCCAAACCGATTTTTGTGCAACATCTACTTACTTTTTTTATGAACTAAAGTGAAATTATGAAGCCAAATTTTTTAACATAACAGCTGCAATAATAAAATCCTCGGCGACCTCTAAACACGATAAATTTGTTGTTTTAAACGGGGCCGCAGCTGTTGTCCCAATATAATTAAAAAACAAATCAAGCCTAAACGTTGCTTGAAACTGTACAATTTCGTGAGCACACGAGACCAGCTAAAAACAAAGAGAAAATAGCCAAATTACCTTGGCGACTTTGTGTGTGTGGATGTGTGTATTATGCAACCCAAGGGACCACGGGCTGACTCCGAAATTAAATTTCACGTTTGGCTTTTATGAATTTTGGGTTTGCAACTGTCTGTGCTTGTCTCATTTGGGTAAATTGGACCGTGACCAATAAAATAAAAACTCCGATTTTATTAGTATTTTTTTCAAGTTGTTTTTCCTCAATGTGCTTAAATTGGTAGTTCCGCTGGAAAAATATTCCACTCTAGAAAACAATATTCTCAATTTAAGACGTTTAAACCGTTTGCTTGTTTGAATATATAAGGATTCACAGCCGAGCACTTTTAATTAACAACCGGTATTGAAGGCAGCCGCTATCCTACCGAGATCTGCTTGCACTAATGCAAGATAAATTTCCGGTTTTCAGTTCTCTGCAACCTTAATCTATCGAGGAAATTAATAGAAACCCTAAAACGATCCCCTGATAAAAATTGTATTCTCGAGTAGTTATTTTAGTTTTAGCCTAAAACGACTTGGTGCTATGTTTCAATCCTCATGAATTTTTTCAGATGTTATTTTAAAATTCCATTATTCACCAAAACCAATTATTGTACCTTAATATATCTACCTAATAAAGCAATTCCATTGTGCGAAAATGAAATTAAATGCCATTTATATTCGGGGCTATTGTCGGAGCGTTAAACAGCAGACAGGCGGAATTTTGTGAGTTAAATAAAAACGTATTGTCCTATTATCAACTACAAAACCGGAACGTTATTTTCTATTTTTGGGGGCAATATTTTAACGTCACTCGGGGAGGACCCCGGGAAAACAAATGTGTTTAAAGAGACATTTCGAAATTTTCACCACCAGGTGTAGCCATTTATTTCTCGTTGCGATGACGTTACATTCCTTACCTGGACCAAAAATAAACTGTATGGTAAAAATGCTCACGGAATTTGTATGAATTTATCAACATTTTTAATATCTTTGTGATTAAAACATTTTTTTTTTGCGGAATAATTTGATGAAAGCGTTGTTATTCAAAAATTCGTCACTCTTATCGAGTTTCATAAAGAGACCTTTACAAAACGTCGCTCAAAAAATATTTGCTAAAATTGACTCTTTTCAATTGAAACTTTCACAAAAGTTCTATGCTCTCTCCGATATACTGAACTGAATTGAACTGACCTCCCAAATGCACTTTGTTTGCAGACGCGCCCGTGTGCATCCAGGAACGCGAGGAAGTATACGGGGCACTCAAGCAAGAGACCGTGACGTTGCGATGTCGAGTGGACGCCAACCCGCCAGTAGCCGCATTTCATTGGACCTTTAATAACAGCGGCGATCAAACTGACGTGTCCTCTGAAAAATATACAAATGAGGTAATAATTAGAGAATAATTTAAAAAACTCTTTATCTGCATCGAACTGTACAATATTTTAACGAAATTATTTTTAGGTAACCTCATCTCGACTAAACTATACTCCAAACACAGACCTCGAGTATGGTACGCTACTCTGCTATGGAGAAAACGAAATCGGCAAACAAAAGGAACCTTGTGTATTTCAAGTTGTTATTGCGGGTAAGTCCATGTTTGTTTTCTTGCCATATTTCATATTTGTACGCTTAAAGTGAAACAGAAAACATGCTTTACTTAATAGGTCTTCATACAGCGACAATTTTGCCTCCATCAACTATTTAATTTGATAACACAGGGTTGATTAAGCAGTCAATTTTTTTGACATCGAATTATACCGGGTGTCAACGAGATCACTTTCGCTCTGGCATTTTTTTCCGATCGAAATTAGTTTCGGTGTGGAGCTGTGCCTAAACTCTACACCGAAATTTATTTCGATCGGAAAAGAAATAAAACAATGCGATAGCGAAAGCGATCTCGTTGACACCCCGGTATACCAGGGGCTGAAGCTTAATTTGTTTGTAGTTCTTCCAGTTTTTCATGAAGTTTTAACTTTTTTCTTTGGCGTGTTAGAGTCGCGCATTGCTCTGTACTGAATTTCGGATCCAAATATTTTTATTGGGAACATCATGTCATGTCCTTTATCTATTGAAATTAAGGTAAGATATATTCCACAATACCTAATTGGTATTTCGTAGAGTTATAATTATAATTTACTTGCTATGTATTTCCCAACATTTTTGGTTTTCCAATAAATCTGGTGTGCGGAAGGAAGTTCCTATCGACGACATGCGACAATGAAAAGCTTTGCCAACGAGATACATGAATGTATTTAAATTATATATAAAAAATTATATAAATTAAATTATATATTAAACCAAACAAACGATAATGTCTTGTATTGTATCTGTTGTAGGTGCCAGTTGCACTTGCGACCTAAGTTGATCTATTGTACCCCTTGTGCTGATAAATTCAGGTTTGCTGCTCAAAGCAGCTCCTCTTGTCCTGATTTCATCAGGAATCTTAAGATATCCAGTGGCTCCAGGGAAGAAGAAGGTGGTAAGGTGTCTCCTCTCTAATTTCATAGATTCTACAAGTACCGCTTTCTTCTAACCCCAATTCCTGTCGATGTTCCTAGTAGGTATGCAGTGTGCCGAGAGAAACCCGGTTACAGTTATGAGACTTCTCTTGCTGAGGTTGAGCAATTCTGATCTTTTTTGGTTAAAGTTGCCTGATGGATCCTTGGCCTGTGTTTTTAGGCCATTTCTCTTTATTTTTGAGGATTCCTTGCAAGTGCGCATTTCCGAGGCCGCAGAATGGTTCTAGTCCAGTGAAATGAGTAGAAGCCCCAAGTTCCTGTTTTGGCAAGTGTGTCTTCGCATTCGTTGCCCTCAACCCCTATGTGTTCAGGCATCCAGAGGAGGGTTACTTTGTTCCCGTTTCCTGGGATGCAGTTTCTGTATACATTCCCATAATATCTTAGAATTGATCACTGAACAGGTCAATGCTTTGGTAGCTGCTTGGCTGTCGCACATTCTCATAATATAATTTCGTGTTTCCAATATCTTCTATTCATGTTGATCTGCACGAATCTTCCGATTGCATGCAATTACGCTTGAAAGATGATTGGTGATTTTCCCATTGCCTCCGACTTGAACTTCGCTAGTCTAAGATATGATCCCCTGGTAGCCAGCTTCATTATTATGTGGAGTAGTGATTGTAGGTTTACTGGATCTGGTTAGCCTACGGCAGCTCTCTGATTTAGAATTTACTGGATATTTCGTAGAGGTTGCTTTTAACTTGATCTAGAATGTCATACATGATAAATGGACTGTAGGTTTAGAAATAAGAAAAAAAGGCTAGTCTTGAAAGGAAAACCCACCATAGACTACTCTACTCTAAAAGCATTTTGCCACGTGGTGAAAGCGCCACTCCAAATCTACTGCAGCTCCGCCTACCAGGGACGTGGCGCCATCTATTAGCAGTGAGTTTAAGTATTTGTCATTTAGTGAATAAACAATAATAAAAAATAAAAAAAGTCCTTAATTATAGTTGTGAAAGGTGATATTGTAGTCGCTTGGAGATAAAATGTTGTATGCATTCGGCCCCGAAGGTCTTCTTGTGCTTCGCTCGATTGTAGGCAACCGCTCCGCGTCGGCCTTCAAACTTCGAGCTCATCACAAAAAGACCCACTTCTTGGCCTAATGACATAATAGTATATTCTTCAACGAGCATTTAATGATAGCTACTATTCACGAGAATGAAAATTCAAACACGAGACGAAGGCGAGTATTGGAATCATCCGAGTGAACAATAGCCATTATTTGCGAGTAAAAGACTATACCACAGATCACCTACCTACAGATGCGAAAGAGCGGCGAATTCGTGGTTCAAGGTTAATTTGGAGGACATAGGCTGGCCGCACCAATGCCTCATCAATAAATTTTGAACATATTTATTATATAAATGCGGAAGCTCAATAATATAATATTATTTCCTTTATTGGTTCACAAAAAAAACATTTTAATCCAAACAATTTTGAGGGAATATTCGGAGAATAGAATATGAATGTTCTTTCACTGTTATGTGGGTTCATTCACTTTTCATTCAGTTCCAATGTCAGAATGAGAGGATACCATATACCTATTATACTAACGTATATCGCGCCTTCCCCATTTACCCAATGTGCGGTTTTTGAAGCAAACAAAGAGGGATAAAGTTATATGATCTCGCATAAGTCTATCTTTGTCAAACGAAGAAGAACGAGGTTATGAACTGCGCTTGCGTTAAACTCTAGATTCTTTTTGGCCGGCGGTTGCCATTTTGCATCAAGCTTTTCGTGCCGTGTTGTCATGTCAAGCTAAAAAGTACAATGAATTCGGATCATTTTTTGAGGTTATAATTTGGTCGATTGCATTTTGATTCCAAAACACTAATAAAATTGAATATATTGGTTTATTTGTCGAAATCGAGTATGTGTTACACGCACCAAAATTCAAAATTTGTCATGTTTCTTGTGAATGTTTAAATAACTCGAAGATGAAAATAATTTTATTGGCAACCCTGCAATATCAGCTGTTTAAAATGAAATATTATTGGAGGAATAACTTCAAATTGACGCATGCGCATTGGAAAAACAAGTTCACTTTAGACAAAGAAGGCATCGTTCTATCTCATAATGTTTGCTTCAAGAACTCAAACCAACCCGCGATATACGTAGTATAATAAATATATGGAGGATACGATATTAAATTAGGAAGATATGATGAACGATTACTGAAATTGAAGATAAACAGAGTTATCTGTACAGTATAAATTTTTATTTTTATCAACCAATATTGATTAGGTATCGAAATTTATTAGTCTTCATCTTCTGAATCAAAAGAATAATTATTATCTATTGTGCTACGCCGAAAGATGATGTACTATTGCGATCAAAAAAAAAAGTACTACAATAGTAGGTATATTGTTGTGTTAGGAGTAGAAGCTTTACTTTTTTTATCTGAAGCGGTAGGTTTGAAAGCCAAACTTAGTAAGGCTTGCAATACTGCTACTCCGTATGCAACACGCTATTTTTTCTCGAAGCTAATGGGGTAAGCTCGGGGGTGAGTAGATCGTTGAGCGGCAGTAAAAGTACAAGCGGCACTTAAAGTACTTTTACTGCCGCAGGGGTTGCTTAGAAGCATTGAAATTAAATTTCTACTATCTAGACAGGTGTTAACCCGCTGAATTTGCCTAGCAGCATAGAAATTATAGTTATTAATAATACTAGTTCGATATGAACATCATAATAAAACGCGTGTAACGTTAAACCACGAGGCGTTAGCTGAGTGGTTTAGTTACACAAGTTTCATTGATGAAGTTCATCCACGATATGCCTGCCAGAACGGTACTGTCGGTACTTTCTTAATTGGCCGATATTAAAACATTATTTAAAAAATTCCTAGCTTTGTTGAAAACGGGATAGTCGGATGAATCGCTGGCTCTTAGACTAGTACCTTTACCTAAAAGACGAAAGTAATTTTAAAGAATTAATTATTGTCATGTAAATCAACAATAGAGCAGGTCATTTCCTATACTATCTTATATCAAGTTTTATTTAATTTGCAATAGATTCAAATATGCAAAGTATTAGGACTCAACTAGGAATTAAACCCTATTCAGATTTGCATCAGGTCAAAATATCTTGGATCTTTGGAATGTAATAAATAATTTCATCACATCTAGATTATGTGAATGTTTTGAAAACGACTTTTTTCGCACGGCGAGACAGTTTGTTGGACCGAGCCGTAGGCGAGTTCCACAAGTCGAGCGAGTGCGAAAAAAGGTTTTCAAGCGAGTTTTTTACAATGCTTTTCCTACAACTGCAAAATAGAACAACCAAATATGTAATTTTTATATGTTAGAGAACAAATCATCAGCATCAGAAATTGGTGACAATCGCAATTTATGTCATGTCATGTCAGGATGACAGGATCAAAATAATAAGAAAACTGATAAGCAGCGTATGAAAAACGTTTTCGCACGCTGAGGAGCGTGTGAATAGTTATTTTACCTAACAAGTGCGGAAAGTTATACTTTTCCGCACGCAACGGCGTTTGTTCGGAAATAGTTATTTACCTAACAAATGCGGAAAGTGATACTTTACCGCACGCAACGGCAGTAGTAGTAAATTAGATTAAATATAGAAATGATCAAAAATCCATTTTCTGAAGAAGAGAGGATTTCTGATTAAAAATATCAAATTTTACTTTACCGCACACTATGCGGTAAAGTGCACTTTACCGCACACTTTGTAGTCCACTTTACCGCATACTATGCAGTAAAGTTAACTTTACCGCACATTATGCGGTAAAGTTACTTTACCGCATAATGTGCGGTAAAGTGATACTTTCCATTTGCAAATACGTGCGGTAAAGTGCACTTTACCGCACGCTCGTAGGTAAAGATACTTTACGCTCGTGTTAGGTACAATATTTTTCCAAAGAGCGTGCGGAAATTGACATATTGTTTTTTTGTTTGTTTTTGGCTCTACCGATAAGAGAGATGGTCAAAAATGTGATTTTTAAATTAAGTTTAGTAACGCAATGATTTTAACAGCAGAACATTAACAATTCTTTTTATTATAAGTAGAAGTAGAATTAATTATTTATGGTATACAACTC